GCCAGGCTTGTCATGAGCAGACCAAAGCTAGAATCCTGTCGTGTTGCTTACTCACCATAGGTAACTAAGCCCCTATGATCCTGTTTCTTCATCCCTAAAATGGAGCCACCAGTACGGTTCCCACAATGTGGCTTTGAGAACTAGAGCAAAGTCTATGAAGCGCAGAGCACGTGGTAGAACAACAGTGACAAATAACAAACACGTATTGAGGCCTTCAGTCTAGGCACCGGCCAACTTGATCCTCATACAACACTATTAGGTGGGAACTACCTGATTCCCATTTTATAAATGGGGAAACCAAGATCCACAGGCACTAAGAAGGTTGCCCAGAATCATACCATTCATTAGTAAGTGGCAGAGCTAAATTTGAAGGTGGGCTATGGAATTTTAACCTATAACATTACCCTGCACCAATAACTGGCAGCTGGGTTAACGGGACAACAGGAACAGAGGCCCAAAAGTGAGAAAGTACAGGGCATGTTCAGAAAGCATTAAATGACCCAGCTGAGCTGGAATCAGGTGTATGAGAGGAATGGTAGGAGGTAAGGCTGGAATGGTTAGTTTATTTAACAAATCAGACGCCTTCCAGACACCAGGCAAGGAGCTGGGTGCACGATAATGAGCAAAACAGACATCACTGCTGCTCCCATCCACCTTCCGGTCTGATGGGAAGACAATCAGATAGTCACAAAATATACATTCTTAAAAATGTGATCAGTTCCATGAAGGAAAAGTGCAGGGTGCCCTGAGTATTGGCAGGGACTGAATGCTGAATGATGGCAAGGAATATCTTATTTATTAGACTCTGGAGAGGGATACTGAAAGTTTCTGAGCAAGATGGAAAAAGGATTTCAGTTTTACTCTTGGAATATTAAAATGGCAACAGGCAAAGAATGGACTGGAGTATCAACACTTTGCTACAAGAGGTATGGAGACTTACAGGAGGCTACTGCATGAACCTGCACCAGAGGTGATGAGGGCATTGACCCTGAAAGAGGAAGGGAGGGATTGGGGGAGACACGTGGCAACAGGTACAGAATTGGAAACTGAGGGGGTGTGGATAGGGAATAACAAAGGATCACAGCCTAATCTTAGGAATTTACATGTCAAGGAAATGATGCCCAAAAAGCAGGAACTTGAATTCAGAGCCGTCATGGAGTTTTCTGTCTCTGAGCCCATGAATCATGAGCAATGAGGGACTGAGTCCGAGGTTCTGGCCACATCAAGGGTCAGATAAAGTGCGGACTCTGCCCACAAACAGATGTTAATGGGCTGACAGCTGGAGGAGTCCACTGGCTTCTCTGAATCCAAAAAAAAAAAAAGTGACTTTTACTAACTAATCAACAACATGAGATTTTTCACATGGATTTGGACATTCTTCCTAAGATTAAAAACTGTTGTGAAATTAGTTCTGAAGAAAAGTTTACCTAAGCGTCCTATAGGTTTCCTGGATTCAAAATCCCTTCTCCAGCCCTGTGTCTGTGTCCTGGAAACCCCTGATGACGCTTCATTCTCTATCCCTAGGGCACAGCCCCACATCCAACAGTCCTTTCTTGGCTGCCTCCACACATCAGCTCCAAGTAACACAGCCAACTGGCTCCAAGTAGGCATCAGTTCCAAGGCAGAGCTTTTGCAGCCCCCGTCCGCATCCTCCGAGGCTCCTGGCCTCAGGTAGCCAGTGAGGGGAACCCAGGCTCCCTTCAAACTGCAAATGCTCCAGCTATGGTTAAACCGTGACTTCCTTTTCGGGGTCCTTGTTGCCTTTTCCTCTTTAACCAAATGGATTACAAGTTTCTGACCCTTGGAACTCAAACAGTTCTCACTAATCCAGGAGGCTTGGAAAGCAAGCACACAAACACAAGGACATGGGAAAACACCGGTGTTTATGCACACATACACATGCACACCCACGTGATCCAACCTCACTTCACCTCTATTTCCACGTCAAATGAGGGAAACAAAGATTTAAAAGAAGAGGAGAAAGGGATACTGCTCTTACTTGACCCATGGACACAAACCATTAAGTGTACTCCTAATTATTCTCAGCCACGATGGATAACACTTTTCCACCATGTTTCCCCTCCTTACACATGCCTGTGGAAGAATGTGATGTTGCACAGAAAGTAAAGTCTTCTGATCTCCCAAGTATAATGTTTTCCCCATGAGTCATGTTCATTTATTTACAAAAGAGGCTTGAACATCCACGGTGAACAAATCTGGAAGTGTCAATCATTCCTCTAACAAGTCTTTTGTGTTCATGACAAATAATTAAGAGCTTAAGGCAGAGAGCTATAATATAGTTTTCATGAAATCCCTTTAGTCTTTCTAGAGGGCATCTTGCAATTCAGATTCCATCAGGATCATTTAAAGCCATCTATAATGTTCATGAATGGTCACTTTCAGATCCTTACAAAATCAAAAGAAACTCTTTTTGTACCTCCACTACAAGCAGCTCTTATAAGATAAGGTGTATGGATAGAGAAAGCATGAAGGATTCCAATTTTAGTATATGTGCTGCCGAAGCGAGCACAAGCATGAAGGATTCCAAAGCATGAAGGATGTATCACAAATGCTGACAAGCCAAGACTGTTGTGGGGATTCCTGGGCCCATAAATAGTCAATGTTTCAGCATCAACTAATTCAAATGGAATATAAAATTCAAGAGACAGCACAGAATAGTAGCTAAAAGCACAGATTCTGGAGCCAGACTGCCTGGATTTGAATACTGGCTCTGTTGCTTAATAGCTGTGTGACTTTTAGGCAAGTTGCTTAGCCTTTCTGTGCTTCAATTTCATCATCATAAAAGGGGAAGATTCATAAGTGGAACCCTATGAAAGTGCCATTTTTGTTGGTCAAAAACTGGTTGGATATTGACAGTTTAATGTGGTTCAATTTAAGTTCCTACCATTTAGGACTGGTATGAAGATTAAATGTGCTTATTTATATAAAGTACTTAGAACAGTAATGGGCATAAAATGGGCACCATACTCATACTGGTTTAAATTTTTTTTGTGTGTTTATTTTTTTTTGAAAGAGAGACAGACAGAATGTGAGCGGGGGAGGAGCAGAGTCAGAGAGGGAGACACAGAATCTGAAGCAGGCTCCAGGCTCTGAGCAGTCAGCACAGAACCTGACTCAGGGCTCAAACCCCTGGACTGTGAGATCATGACCCGAGCCGAAGTCAGACACTTAACCTACTGAGCCACCTAGGCTCCCCGATCCTGGTTCAAAATGAATAAATAGGGGCGCCTGGGTGGCGCAGTCGGTTAAGCGTCCGACTTCAGCCATGTCACGATCTCACGGTCCGTGAGTTCGAGCCCCGCGTCGGGCTCTGGGCTGATGGCTCAGAGCCTGGAGCCTGTTTTGGATTCTGTGTCTCCCCCTCTCTCTCTGCCCCTCCCCCGTTCATGCTCTGTCTCTCTCCCAAAAACAAATAAACGTTGAAAAAAAAAATTAAAAAAAAAAAAAGAATAAATAAAAGAATGAATTACTGGTATATTATTGGATAGATGTATGTGTATAAATAAACAAAAGTGGCTGATAAACATTATGTAGTGATAGTTATCATAAAGCTTAACACTTGTCAGAACTTAGATGTAATGAACACAAAGCCGATGGGAGCTTATTTGTTTTGTATAAAGGATACTGATTTATATACACCCGTTCCCAACTGGACTTCTGTTAATTTTTGTAACTGCTCTAATTTCTAGCACAGTACATGGAATGGAATTTAAAAAATCAACACATTGTTTACTGAATGAACAAATGACCAATTAAATGAATGACTGCATACGCACATGCCAAGGTTGTTTTGAGGCCTGACTTGCTCCTGTTTCAAAGTCCTAAGAGCAATTTTTAGCTTCCAAGCACATAAGAATCAGCTCAAGTTCTGACACCCAGCCAGACCCACTTCCTTCTGAGTGTTAACTTTCTCAATCAGATAAACTAAGCCTGGAGACATCAGAGAAAGATCTCCATGAATCATCTTCACTGGTTCAAAGTATCTTAGCAAGCTGCATGGGGACCAGCCTAGGCTCCCTAAAGTTAGTGACAAGGCATAGCATAGTTTAATAATTGGAGAGATCTGGTCTGCAGAGAACCAATGTCAGGCCCATCTCTCACGGTGACGCCAGATACCCAATTTCTCAGACACAGGAGATCACATCCTTAAACTCATAATGTGCCAAGACTGGGACCACATGAAGAAGAAAAAACAAATTTCTTACAACAAAAGACAAAAGAGCCAAGACTTACCGGGAGGCAGCGGTAAAAACAAATTCTTGGTAGCTTCCAGAATCCTGGTCATGATGTGAAAGACTTTAAATTCAGCTGCACTGGCCCTCCCACTGCTGGGTAAAACAACACAGCCACAGTCAGCCAAGGGTTAATCTCTAAAACCCTGTTTGTAGGGGCACCTGGGTGACTCAGTCAGTTAAGCCTCTGACGCTTGATTTTGGCTCAGATCATGATCTCACGGTTCGTGAGATCGAGCCCCGTGGGGCTCTGTGCTGACAGTGTGGAGCCTGCTTGGGATTCTATCCTTCCCTCTCTCTCTGCCCGTGCTCCACTCATGTGCACTCTCACTCTCTCAAAATAAACATACATTAAAAAAAAAAAATCTGTTTTTCTAAGCAGTGGCTCTGAGTACCTAACAGAGATGGAATTCATGCTAATGGTGAAAGGCTAGGCCCTGCTGAAAGCCTCATAAGTATGATGGCGACCATCAGTCTAAAGCCTAGAATCTAACCAGACAGAAGGCACATAAATGATAAATGGTATTAATTGAAATTCCCCTTCCTAGCAGTCCTGAGCTCACACGTCCCTCCCTCCTCATCAACCACATGTCAGGGAAAGAGGATGGGTGAAGTAACAGGGCAATTCCCTAAATACTGAGTATAGAATTAAGATAGGCAGTGTCAGGGCTGGTGACAACTGCTGTCAACTGTTAACTTCCAAAAAAGCTTTGCCCAAACAGGCAGCAATTAGGGTTGTTTTAACTCTTTGCACACCTTGATAAAAGAGAGCAAGAGATACTTGCGTACAAGTGGGGAACACAGGGGTGAAGACTGTGTTTTCTCCAACTGGTTTCCATTATCTGGCAGACGAGATCCAGCTGGAGGATAAAGACAGCCTGTTAGCCTTTGCCCATACCCTCTCCCTCAGGGGTCCCTATAGCTAGCCCTCCGCAGGCCTGATGGGCATGCTCAGGGCAGCTGGCATGTGGCCTGTGCCCAGACACAGAACCAGCCTTTCTGCAGTCCATTTGGAGGCACTGGAATCCAAAATGGAAAGACTGAAAATGCACACCAGAGTCTAACAGAGACCCTTCTGTCTATGCAGGCAGTGCCCCAACTGAGCTTCCCCAGCCTGGTTAACAGGCCCTCAATCATAGGCCCTCTGCCATCAGCGAAGGTCAAGTCCAACTGGATTTGTTCTAGGCCTGGTACATGACAAAGGTCAGCGGCTGACAGTGAGAAGAAAGGAGACACAGAAGAGAATGGAGGTCCTGAGTGTCGACTGTGGAGTAAGACTGCTTTCAAGTCCAGGTCATACATTTGACTAGTTTGTCAGCAACAGAGCAGTCTCCATGGGGCTGTTGCCAGCCATGAATCCATGCACTACACGTGTAGGCTTAAGGACGGGGGGCACAGGGGGCAAATCAGAAAGGATCTCCATACAGGCACAGGCATAAGAGTTTATTCTCAGTGACAGAGATTCTCAGTTTCTCTTTGGCTGAAATCAGGTAAGATAACTCATAAGCAATATAGTCTGGTTCTGCAGCAACTTCCTCCATTTGTTTTAGAAAGCCTGTTTAGCCACCCTCCCGAGCGAATTGGGAGACAAGGCTGTTTGCTGCTGGGCAGGAGCAGGTGGATTTGGCCTCCATCAGTGGCAGCCAAGTCTAGTCACGGGTATTGAGTTTTCTGAGGCTACAGCTCTACCACTTCTGGTCCTATTAGTTCTGGTGGTTGTTAACACAAACTGCTGTTAAAAGTTTTATGTGGGGGCGCCTGGGTGGCTCAGTCAGTTGAGCGTCCGACTGCAGCTCAGGTCACGATCTCATGATCTGTGGGTTCGAGCCCCATGTCAGGCTCTATGCTGACGGCTCAGAGCCTGGAGCCTGCTTCCGATCCTGTGTCTCCCTCTTCTCTGCCCCTCCTCCACTCTCACTTTGTCTCACCCTGTCTCTCAAAAATAAATAAATGTAAAAAAAAATTTTAAAAAAGTTGTATGTGATTAACTGCAAGGAAGCATGACGCCTGAACAAAAATCCTTTAACACATTGAAGGTGAAATTTAAAGTCGACAGAAGGAATGATGACAGATGGACATGTTAAATAATTGTGTTATTAAAGGACAAAGAAAGCAAGTTAATGTCACCATGGGAAGATCAAGAACACGTTCATAAATTGAGTTCCTGGGTATAGTTTTACTACAAAGAATTATTATTATTTAAGAAAGTTTCAATGCCAGAGAGCCAGAGCTACTCAGTCGGTTAAGCGTCTGATTCTTGATTTCAGCTCAGGTCATGACCTCACGGTTCATGAGTTTGAGCCCTGCATCGGGCTTTG